TGGTCCACACAGTCAAAGGCTTTTGCATAGTCAATGAAGCAGAAGTAGATGTTTTTCTGGAACTCTCTGGGCTTTCTCCATAATCCAGCACATGTTAGCAATTTGGTCTCTGGTTCCTCTGCCCCTTTGAAATCCAGCTTGTACTTCTGGGAGTTCTCGGTTCACATACTGCTGAAGCCTACCTTGGAGGATTTTGAGCATAACCTTGCTAGCGTTGAAATGAGTGCCAACTGTATGGTAGTTGGAACATTCTTTGGCACTGCCTTTCTTTGGGATTGGGATGTAGACTGATCTTTTCCAGTCCTCTGGCCACTGTTGAGTTTTCCAAACTTGGTGGCATATTGAATGTAGCACCTTAACAGCGTCATCTTTTAAGATTTTAAATAGTTCAGCTGGTATGCCATCACCTCCACTGGCCTTGTTGTTAGCCAAGCTTTCTAAGGCCCACTTGACTTTACTCTCTGGGATGTCTGGGTTGTCCGGCACATCCAGATCTTTCCGGTATAATTCATCTATGTATTCTTGCCACCTCTTGATGTCTTCTACTTCTATTAGGTCCCTACCATTTTTGTCCTTTATCATGTCCATCTTTGCACAAAATGTTCCTTTAATATCTCCAGTTTTCTTGAACAGATCTCTGGTTTTTTCCTTTTCTATTATTTTCCTCTATTTCTTCATTTAAGAAGTCCCTCTTATCTCTCCTTGCCATTCTTTGGAAGTCTGCATTCAATTTTCTGTAACTCTCCCTATCTCCCTTGCATTTTGTTTCCCTTCTCTTCTCTGCTGTTTGTAAGCCTTCGTTGGACAGCCACTTTGCTTTCTTGCATTCCCTTTTCTTTGGGATGGTTTTTGTTGCTAACTCCTCTACAATGTTATGAGCCTCCATCCATAGTTCTTCAGGCGCTGTGTCCACCAAGTCTAGTTCCTTAAATCTGTTCTTCACTTCCACTGTGTATTCATAAGGGATTTGGTTTAGATTATACCTGACTAGCCCAGTGGTTTTTCCTACTCTCTTCAGTTTAAGCTTGAGTTTTGCCATAAGAAGCTGATGATCAGAGCCACAATCAGCTCCAGGTCTCGTTTTTGCTGACTGTATAGAGCTTCTCCATCTTTGGCTGCAGAGAACATAATCAATCTGATTTCGGTATTGCCCATCTGGTGATTTCCATGTGTAGAGTTGCCTCTAGTGTTGTTGGAAAAGAGTGTTTGTGATGACCAGTTTGTTCTCTTGACAAAACTCTATTAGCCTTTGCCCTGCTTCGTTTTGAACTCCAAGGCCAAACTTCCCTGTTGTTCCTTTTATCTCTCGACTCCCTACTTTAGCATTCCAATCCCCTATAATGAGAAGATCATCTTTCTTTGGTGTCTGTTCTAGAAGGTGTTGTAAGCCTTCATAAAACTGGTCAGTTTCAGTCTCCTCAACATTGGTGGTTGTTGCATAAAACTTGGATTATTGTGATGTTGAAAGGTCTGCCTTGGATTCGTATTGAAATAATTCTATCATTTTTGAGATTATATACCATTATAGCTTTTGTTACTCTTTTGCTGACTATGAGGACTACTCCATTACTTCTATGGCCTTTTTGCCCACAGTAGTAGATATGATAATCATCTGAATTGAATTTGCCCATTCCTGTCTATTTTAGTTCACTAACGCCCAGGATGTCAATGTTTATTCTTGCCATCTCCTGTTTGACCACATCCAGCTTCCCAAGGTTCATAGATCTTACATTCCAGGTTCCTATGCAGTATTTTTCTTTGCAGCATTGGACTTTTCTTTCACTTTCAGGTGTGTCCACAGCTGAGTGTCCTTTCAGCTTTGGCCCATCCACTTCATTAGCTCTGGAGTTACTTGTACTTGTCTTCTGCTCTTGCTCAGTAGCATGTTGGATGCCTTCTGACCTGAGAGGCTCATCTTCCAGCGTCATATCTTTTAGCCTTTTGTGTCTGTCCATAGAGTTTTCTTGGCAAAGATACTGGAGTGGCTTGCCAGTTCCTGCTCCAGGTGGATTGCGTTTAGTCAGAACTCTCCACTATGACCTGTCCGTCTTGGGTGTCCCTGCACGGCATAGCTCATAGCTTCTCTGAGTTACTCAAGCCCCTTCGCCACAACAAGGCAGCAATCCATGAAGGGGAATAATGGACTGGATGAGGTTAATAAATTGAAACTCAGTCCAGACAAGACGGAAATGCTGTTAGTGGGTGCTTCACCAGACAGGCTGGAGGGCCATTTCTCTGCCCTGAATGGGGTTGCACTCTCCCCAAGGGATAGTGGTCCCACAGCCTGGGAGTGCTCCTGGACCCCAGTCTAACTCTGGAAGCCCAGGTGGACTTGGTGACCAGGGGCACCTTCCTTCAGCTACAGAAATTATACCTGCTATGGCCCTACCTGGACGAGCGCCATTTCATGACAGTTAAACATGCACATACATCTTGTATATATTATTGCAATGCGCTCTACGTGGGGCTGCCTTTGAAGACAGTCCGCTGACTGCAATTGGTCCAGAATCAAGCTGCGCAGCTGCTGAGTGGTGGGGCCACTAGGGGACTCATCAAGCCGATTCTGTTTAAATTACATTGGCTACCAGTTGCTCTCTGGGCCCAATTCAAAGTGCTTGTTTTGACATTTAAAACCCTAAACGGTTTGGGCCCTGGATACCTGAAGGACTGCCTCCTTCCATATGAAGGAAGATGGCTTGTAGACAATGGGCCTTTTCGGCAGCTGCCCCCAGACTATGGAACACAATCCCAACTGATATTCGTCTGATGGCAATGCTGATGACATTTCAGCGCCAGGTCAAAACGTTCTTGTTCCAGAAGGCATTAAATTGAAATAATATCAACTGTGGGTCCTGATGGCAACTTTTAGAGTATGTATTTTAATTGTATTTTAATTGTTTTATCTTTTTTACTGTAGTTAAATCGCTGTAAGCCGCCCAGAGACCTTTGGGTAGTGTGGGTGGCATATAAGTTAAATAAATAAATAAATAGTCCAGGCTTATCCACAGTTTCGAATGCAGTGGCGAAGCTGCATTTTCTTATCATGTCTGAACTTGGTGATAATTTCTTGCTGGCTGTAATTTTTCATGCAAAGCATACAGTAGATAGCATTAACTGTTCAATAGATGACCAGCATTGCATTTCATTAGTGAGTAGTAGCATTAATTATTTTAAACAGGGTAGGCTGTTTATTAATAGAATATTCATAGTATGGTAGCCTTGTTGATCTTTATTGTAACTACTCTAATTTAAATAGTTATCAATTATGAATGTACTGCCAGCAGTAATCCTTGCTGTGAACTTTTAAAGAGTTTTACATTTCTCTTTCTATTTAATTTAACTGGAGTTTCCAGACTAAAAGAAAGAAACAAAAGACTACAAGAAAGAAAGAAAAGAAAAGAAAAGATCCACTTTTCAACATTTTCAGCATTAACAGTGTGCTAACAGCCTTCATCCTAGGTATATTCCAGATAGAAGTAGGAAGACTCCCACCTGAAGTCCTGGAAATGGGTGGCTAGCCAGTCTAAATTCCTAAATGTTAGAACAGTATGACAGTGGAAACAGTTACAGTGGTGCCTCGCTTAACAAGCGCACCGTTTAACGGCATAGCAATCTATTTTTTTAGATCGCTAATGTGATCGCATTGCGATGTTCTGAATAGGCAAAACATCACATTGTGATGATCAGTAAGCGAAACGCTTACCGATCTCTGCATTGGGATGTTTTTTTAAACAGCTGATCAGCGGTTCCAGAATGGCCGCCGGGTGCCCGAAATGGCCACCGCAAATGTTTTTGCGCCCTGCCCTCGCTTACCGAGGGCGCGAAAATGGCGGTGCTGTGGAGGAACTTCGCTGAACGGTAAGTTTGGGAGCCATAGGAATGCATTAAACGAAGTTTAATGCGCTCCTATGGCTTTTTCCGTTCCGTTTAGCGATGTTTCTGCATAGCGACGATTAATCCGGAACAGAGTAACATCGCTATGTGGGGCACCACTGTACTTCAGGAGGTGGTAAGCACTTCAATGCTGGAGGCATTCAAGAGAAAGTTGGGCAACCATCTGCCAGATCTGCTTTGATTTGTATTCCTGCATTGAGCAGGGGTAGGACTTGATAGCCTTATAGACCCCTTCCAACTCCTAGAATCATTCCATGAGTCTATGATTATTGAGCTAGATAAACCAATGACTTTAATAAAAGACAGCTTGTTGTATCACATGTGCATCTCTGAAGCAATAAGTAACTGTCAAATTTTGAAACAGATTAGGAGGATTTTGCACCTTTGTCCTAGCTTATTGGGAATTATATTTCTATTATATGTCAGTATTTATGTGAGTAAAAAGCAACTACAATTACCTTTCAGTGGTTTTGCCCAATAATTTTAGTTGCTCTAATTGTTCATTGTTAGCATGACTAGCATTTGGAAATTCTACATATTTAACATGAAAACAGCATAGGCAGCCACTATTTTAGATAGATTGAAATTGAAAACCAGAGGTGTACAGTAGACTGAGGGTTAGAAGTGGACTGTGAAGATATGATTTAGATATCATTATGTTCCTTGGTGGCCTTGGCACTATTTCTCACAAATGGCCTAAATAAATAAATCAACAAAATCATGTGTAAAACATGGTTGCTATCTGTATTAAAATATGCCAATTTTGTTCTCTTCACTTTTAATAAAAGCTTTTATGAATCTTTTTGTTTTTCAAGTAATAATTGCAATATTTTGTAATTATCTGTCATACTATATTTAACTGCCTTAACACAGTGCAGCAGGTTGTTCCTTTTGTGGACTCATCAGAAATAGTATAGCAAGTTTTATGTTTTATATCCACATCATTGTATCTATATGAACACAAGAAATTACATGGTTCTAACTAAAAAGTATGCAGAATATGATTTTTCCCTTTTAATTGAAAATATTTTAGCATATTGTAAAAAAAAACCCTCATTCCTGCAACTGTAAGCAGTTCCTTCACAGGTCTCTTTCTTTGTTTTCAGGAAGAAACCCAAGACAGCGGAAAAACAGGAGGAGTCTGAGGAGAATGAGATTACGCAGACGGGTGCATACAGCACCAAGACGGGCCTTCATTGCCTGAATTCTGAAACTGTCCCATCTCTGAGCCCAGCTCTCATCCATTCATCACTTTCACCAACAAACCTGCACACACACACAGGGTCACCTGATAGTGAGTACAGTAGCACAGTTGTGGGGAATTTGCCATTATGTGTTGAAACATGTTCTTCTGAATTTACCATTAACCAATCCAGGCTGTCAAAACAGAAATTTCTATTTATTTTATCTAATTACTGGATAAGCTAAAATTCCCTGGGTGGGCACAGTACCAAAAATGTGAACATGCAAGGAGGTAAAAGAGGAAGAAATATTTTAATAAGCATTGTTTGTAATTCTGCCTTTAGAATTTACTTTTTAGGAAATGCCCGCCGATCTTGGACTCCTTTTCCTGTTCCGATCTCATGCCACGGGCCTTACTAATCACTGTTCTAAGTTTTTTTAAAAATTGGCTTTCATAAAATCCAGTATACATATGCAGCTATACTCTGCTTTTGTTTCCTTTGAAATCAAGAACTCAAGTAGAACATGGTCACTTTTCCACAGAGTTCTCCTTACTGCTGCTTCTTCCACCAAATCATCTCTGTTACAGTGGTGCCTCACTTAGCGAAGTTAATTCGTGCTGAAAAATCGCTGCTAAGCGATAACATCACTAAGTGAAATAAAAAAGCCCATAGAGACGCATTAAAACGTGATTAATGCATTCCTATGGGCTTAAAACTCACCTTTAAGCGAAGATCCTCCATAGCGCCGCCATTTTCGGTGCCTCTAAAGCGAGAAATCCGTGCCGGAAAACAGCAGGCGGCCATTTTGTTTACCCAGTGGCCATTTTGAAACCGCCAATCAGCTGTGCAAAAATGGGGGCTTTGCGATGATCGCTTCCCTGCGATCATCGCAAAGTGAAAACACCCCATAGGGACCATCGTTTTGCAATCGCTTTTGTGATCGCAAAAACTCCATCGCAAAGCGATTTCATTGCTATACGGAGCGATCGCTATGCGAGGCACCACTGTAGCTAGAATCAAGTCAGGGAGAACTAATCCTATACTGTAGTTTTCTTCCTCCTCTTTTTCTAGAAGAAAATTATCAGCAACACAGGAATTTCCTGGAAGGACCATATTTGGCAGAATTTGCCTCCCAACAGATATCAAGATAATTGAAATCTCCCATTACTACTACATCTTGTCTCTTTAAAATCCTACCAATTTGTTTTTCAAAAGCTTCATCCTCACCTGCTACCTAATTAGGCTGTTGGTACTGTGTTTCCCCAAAAATAAGACAGGGTCTTATATTAATTTTTCCTCCAAAAATGCATTGGGGCTTATTTTCAGGGGATGTTTTATTTTATTTTAATGTACAACAATCTACATTTATGCAAATACAGTCATGTCATCTTCTGGTTTCTGCACAACACTGCACAATGGTGGGGGTGGGGTTTCACTTAACTGGGAATTATTTTTTGGGTAGGGCTTATATTATGAGCATTCTGAAAAATCCTACTAGGGCTTATTTTCAGGTTATGTCTTATTTTGGGGGAAACTCCCCAACTACCATGTTCCATTTGTTTTGTTTCATCATGATTGCCATGATGAAAGCTTGGTGTGTTTTTGTGTAGAGTCTTTCAAATAGGGCCAGCAATAATCTCAGTGTAACACCCAGGTTGAAAATCTGTAGGAGTGGATCCTCTAAAGCTGGTAGATTTTTCTCTCTTGCACAACTTTGATGAATGATGATAATAATGAAAAAGATGCCTCTGTTTAGCAGCAAGAAATCCAGGGTAGGCCAGCGGGCAATCAAGCAGTCCACCAAGGTGAAAATGGAATAGGAGAAAGTTCTGCATTAAAAATAAAATGGGCCAAAAGTGAAAGAATCAAATAAATAAGTAAATGTATAAACTCAATTCTGAATTGAAGACAGGGCACAGCAGGCAATGATGAGCAAGGTGAAAAAGGAAGGAATGTTTAAAAAGTAATTATAATCAAAAAAATGGAGGAGCGGAAGCAGCAATCTAGTCATGCAACAATAAATCCAAAATGGATGCAGGACAAGCCAAAGGAAGCCAAGGTGCTCAGTTAACAGCAAAATCACACAAGGAACCACCAGTAGTGAACTGCACAAATTTCTGTTTTGCAGGACCTTTTAAAGAGTGACATTATCCCTCCCCAACAGAACACTGTGATTGGTTTCACAGCCCTCTTTGCAAGACTCACAATACTATCAGTCAGAATAGAAAATCAGATGATTTTGCATACATAAGGTGGACTGAAGGTAATAAATGATCTGTGTCTTATTTGTTACAATAGATCATTTGTTTTTAAGAAGCTGTCTTCTAGAAAGTTGACAGAAGACGAAAATGAATGAGAATGCCTCTTCTGTATTTGTTTTCATTTATCCTAACTTGAAAGTCCTATCCCTAATCACAGCTTCTTTTTTCTTAAATGGTTTTCAAATGAAAATTTACAAGGGAAAAAAAAGATGTTTGAAGACTTCATGGAGACCAAAAAAAAAAAAGGTCATTGCAGTAAATTATGAGTGTTGCTTTCATTTTTAACTTCAGAAATACTTGCAAAAGGGTAAATGTTGGAAGTAGCTATGTGAGTGTGTTACTGCTATTGAAATCACATCCAATAACATTTATTCTTTTCGCATGTATTATTTTAGAAATCAACACACACACACAAATCTCTCCAAGTGGCACAATTAAAGCAAAGCTCAGCTACAGTTGTGTTTAATGTTTCTTGTTCGTGGTCTCTGTGAATGCACACTAATGGGTTCATCTGCGCTTGCACAGAGGTTTCCGGAATCTTCTAGAGCTTAAACATTCTTTCACCAGGACTGCCCCCCAATACACATGGTCCACCCATCCTGGCAAGTACCTCGGTTCCTTTTTGCCACCGCTGAAGTTTCTTCTCTGAGATGAGCTCTGTTCACCTTTCTACTCTGCATATAGAAGGAACTTTAGTGAGAGACTTTCTTGTTATTCCTTCCTTTTACCACCCCGTCTTCCCCTATCCCTCATTTTTCCATCTCTTTTCCATTTTTGTTTAGTTTATGGCCTCCTCTGGGCCGTTTAAACGGGCACTTCGTGCCCCAATAAAATTGCTTTGACCAACGGACATAACTCCTACCTTTTCTGCCTGGGCGAAACCCACCAGCCAGCTTCTTGCCCTTTTTGCAAGAAATTAATAAAGCAGGCTTTTAAACTGAGACAGCAACATCTACACTCTTATTTGTGGGAACTTTCTCTTCACCCCATACCAATTATAGAACCTGCACAACCTTCATGAGCTTGTTTGGCCTCCCTGGAAGTTTCTGTTGATTCTTCAGCAAAATCAAAATCTAAGTGTAACGGCCTCCCTCTACCTCACAAAGGGGGGTTGCTACGTCACTCTAAATCACTCTTCTTTTCCACTGCCACCAACCATTCCCTCAAATAAGTAGCTTCAGGCCAAAATATGATTCAAAATAAAAAAACTCAGGTGTATTGGGTACAAATAAAAGGAATGGTAAATCACTTATAATTAAATAATAATTCAATCACTATACTAAAGGCACTAGCATACACAGACTCTCACAATATATGACAGATCTCCTAACTCCTCTCTAAACCCTATCCAAGCCCTGTCAAAGCCCTATCAGTCCCTGTCTCCCACACACATTCACTCCCATTTATACAACAGCTCCACCCCTTATGTCCCACCCTCCGTCACACCATTGGTAGATGACACAGCTTTAGCAGTGACGGACAGGTGAGGTCATAGCTGTATGTAACATAAGGCTAAGACGAGTCCCAAGTCAAAGGCTGGAAGATCGACAACAAAATCCATGCCGATACCAAAGTCCCCTTCAGTACAAGAGCAACAGTCCAAACCTAAAAAATCTAAAAAGTCATCCTCTGATTCCTAGTCCTCTGAACACCAAAAGGATAAGGTGGTCTCCTCAATCCTGCTTCAGGAGCAGCAGACTATCTGCCTGGGCTTTATCGTCGATGACGGCGATTATCTGTCTCCACTCTCGGGCTAACCACCATCACTTTTATTGGCACAGTCCCCATTTTGGGCTAATACCTTGGCTGAGGTTACAGTTATGATGATCTGAGCCCCTCGGGTTGCTCCGTCTCCATGTGTCAGTCAGATTCAGCGTCTGTCTTGGCTGATTCACAACCTCCACTTAAGCCGTCTCAAAAGACACATCATACATCCTTCTGATGTCGATGCTCCACATCCACAGAGGTTGACCGGGTTACTTGCATCACATGACTCATTCACGTGGTACCATCATCCCAAGAGGGTTACTCTATATATATCTTTGGAATAACCTTCCTCCGGAAATTCGCGAGGCCCCAACACTGGGTACTTTCAAATGCCAACTGAAAACATGGATATACATCCAGGCCTTCCCTCCTGTCAACTACTGATTTCTTTACTTTGCTATTTATTATTTATTTATTCCTGCACTATTTGTTATTGTTGTATGCTAATGTTTTTATTTTTTAAATTGTTTTTGATATTCTGTAAGCTGCCCAGAGTGGTAGAATATACCAGATGGGCGGGGTAGAAATCGAACAAATAAAATAAATAAAAATATAATAAATATATGAGCCACCCACTTATTATGAAATGCCACCACAACTATATGAACATTGTCAATACCATTACTGGCACCCATATACATGGAACTTAAGTGCCCTTGGTACTCCTACTACTATTCCGACTCAGATTGTGAATCTCCTGTTCAATACCGCTCACAGCAATATAACCAGTCCTCCTCTGCAGATGACTCTATGGTATTGTTTCTAATACCGAAGCATCAAAAGTCTTCCTATAAAAGGAAACATATCTCTCCACATCCTCCGCATCAGCCACTGATACCGAAATGTTCCAGACCATCATCTAAGGTTTTGGTACCATGTGTTTACCCACCACACTCTCACAGGCCCACGCTTTATCAGTGGAGGTCACCACTATACTGGCCCTTCGCCTACACCTCATGAGATTAGTCAAACTCATCATTCCAAGTAAGCCAAACACGTCAGCCTACCTCTCACAACCTACTTCTGACACGAGATTCAGTTAAACTGAAGACTACACCAGTCAATACAATGGATGATCTGCC